ACAGACACACACACACACACACACACAAAGGGGGTCCAAAATCCCCCGACAGGTGAGTGTGCTGGGGGGGCTCGTCCCCCAACCGGGTGTCCTGCCCGGCCAGGCCGCCCCGGGCCCCTGCCGGTCACCCGGGCGGCCCGGATTCCCACTCAGAACTGAACAACGTTTGCCTCAGGGTCACATCGAAATTATTTACCAAATTTACATTAAAATTTTTAATTAAAAACTAATTTTTATTTTTTTTATTTTTTTATTTCATTTTGGCCCGGCCGGGCAAGTGGACCCGGGCCTCTCTGGTAGCCTAGCTCCTAAGACGAAATTCGTGATAGATCTAGCCTTTAGTCCTCCTCGATCCAGTGGGAGTGAAATTTGGGGGGCAGCACTGCAGCAGTCCGGTTACTTATCAGCGGCAAGCATGTTTGTACATCCAAAGAAAGGGTGAAGATTATACCAGAAAAGGGGAACAGCCCAACCCTTGTGGCATCGATCGTCCACGAAGGGGGAACCTGCTCGAGCGCGCGCCCCCCCCCCAAAAAAAAAACCATGGTCTTTCTCTGCAGACCGATATGCATGCATTTTTTTCCCTTTTTTCTTTTCTTTTCTTTTTCTGGGAACAATGCGCCAGTCTATTCGTGGGGAGCAACATGTGCTGGCCACTGCGCCCAGTGTCTCATCTGAAAACATATTCGAAAACATTTTGCAGAGCAAACTGAGATAGCTAGAGTATGTACTAGTACTATGTACTATGTACTGTTCAGTCACATGTTACAGTTGGGATTACTATGTGCCATGTGGAGATTGAGCTGCAACTGTCAAAGACTACTCGAACACTGTAACATGTGGATCCCGTGCAGGACTCGATCTCTTGATCTGTTGGCATGCACTCGCAGCCAAAACAGATTCATGGCTAGAACTGTGCGGATCCCATCAAGGACTTGCACTGCACCGCTCCACGTGCTATGCACGCAACATTTGAAATTTTAAATTCCTTAGTCGTTTTGTTTTTGTTTTGTTTTTGTTTTGTTTTTGTTTTGTTTTTGTTTTGTTTTTCTCCTTTTTTGTTCAAGGGATGCATGACCCCCCCTTACCGTTACTGTATTCGAACTCTTGATCTGCTTGCTATCAGTTTCACTCGTGCAAATTTCAGAGCCGCGGCCTGTTAGCTGTTTGATAACAGCGACAAGAGGATTCGAAACCATATTTAGCTGTTTGGAGTCTTCGGACTGCTCAACGTTCGTATCAGTCCGAAGCATACTTGCGGCGCATTGACGTGCGCTGCACCGCGCACACGCGCCGCACTGCGCACAGCGCACGACGCGCGCGCACGGGGTGCGGCGCACCCCGAAAATAAGAGGTCGAGAAAAAAAAAAAAAAAGTTGGAGAGGGTTGTTTTAGACCCGAGTGGAATGTCGCGTCATAAACCACAAAAAAATATTGACAAAACTTTGAGGCCGCGCGGGGCCTCTGAAAAAAAAAAGGGGGGAAGTTCGTTTTTTTGTTTGTGTGTGTGTGTGTGTGTGTGTGTGTGTGTGTGTGTGTGTGTGTGTGTG